TAAATGTAAATTGTGCTGTGCATTTATGAATTTTGTTTTGTAAATCTATTATTTTTGAGGCTGATCTGGCTCCATATCTTGGAGTGGAACAACATTATTCTCACTCAGTGCTGTGCTGCTGATAAACATGATATAATTTCAGTTGTGCTGCTTTATATGAAAATAAATATGATGAACAAGACACTCAAAGTGCTTGCTATTTAAATCCATACGAAAGGTGTCTTTATCATCCATTTTTAGTTTGTATTTTAGATTTATATAGAAAAATTACAACAATCACATCTCGCACAGAGATCGCACTGTCCAGAGGTAGAAAGTCCAGGATAGAGGTCTGCATTCCCGCGGGACCCGACGAGATTTTTTGCAACGCGGGATTAAATTTCCGAATAAAACATGGTAGCGGGTCGGTAACTCTGGTGTAATTTGAACGGGAACGGGCGGTCTAACAATATCCCGTTCCTGACGTCCTTTCAGAACAGCATATCTGCGCTTTACTCATTCTTATCGACCAATGGTACAGTCTGCACTCAGGACTGTCACATTATGCACGCACTGCAGTGCTTTCTGCGTCATGCAGGGCTTGAAGTGGGCCGGTACGCAGTATATTTTAGCCTTTAGGGTTAGGGTTAGGTCTGGGTGATTATATGATCCCATATATGACTAGAAAGGACACTATATAAATCACACTACATAGGCGGGATCGCCTCTCATCTCGACCAATCACATGAATGAATGCAAGTGGAGTGTGTAGAGCATGTCAGCAGAGGCGTTGAGGACTGTGTTGGTTAAATGAAAACTAATAGCATTTTCACAAATATGTGTATATGTTTTGACTGAAGGGTGTATGTTTTGACTGAAGTGTGTCATTTTGCAAACAATCTAGGAATTATGCAAATTGAGTGTGGTGTTTGGATAATTGTGCTTATATTGTGAAAAAAAGAACCCGGTTTTCAAAATTGCGTGTAAACAATTGAAAAAAACTGTAAAATGAAAAGAAGCAGGCTTTTGCGATCACATCATTTTAAACCAGTAAACTTCTGGGCCCTCATTTATCAACAGTGCATAGAAAAAGTTCTATATTTTGTCCTAATGAAATTTAGAAGGTGCCTAAGTACAAGAAAATCTGTATTTATCAAACGTGCACACGTAGTTCTTACGCACATGAGTAAGCAATCATTGACTACGTTTATATGGACATCAGTAATCTAATTATTTACCTTATTCTGGGAGGTGTTGAAGCTCTTTTGTTTTCCGTCAAACGGTTGAGCACTGCCTTGTGTGTATCCTGTTGCAAAATGCGGCGAAAAGTCCTACAGGACGGTAATAGTGTGTGTACATGTCTGTACTGCACTTCAATAATGTGACTAAAATAGGAATACTCCACATGTCTTAATTAGATTTCTGTTTACTTCGAGTATGACTTTAGCCAGATTAAGATAATCAAAAATCTCTGTTTACATGGTAGATTCTTAATCAGAGTATTGTCTTAATTGCATTAAAATCGGATTATTGTTGTCCATGTAAACGTTCTCATTGTTGATAAATCCCACATGTGCGTAAGTAACATGCTCGTTCACGTTCATGGGCATTCCCTGCAAACAAGCCTGCACTAGCCCTTTACGGGCCCACTTAGTGCTGCCAGCGCAGGGCCCCTGAGAATTTGCTCATTGGCAAAACGTTGGCCCCGTAAAGGCTTGTTTGCAGGGTTTGCATTCGGAAACGCCTCCAATGAACCATATATGGTGACAACACCTCCCTTTATAAATCACGTGAATGTATGTGTCCTCACCAAGCGGCAACCTCCCCCTCTCTCTTGTGAAGCCAACAAGGAAGTGACTTAAACTGTAATTCATCAACTGGTTAATTAAGTGCTGATTGAGCATTAGTGATGAACAGCTGCTGTTAACAAGCAGAATCACTGAAGAAAAGAGAAACACAAGAACTACAACTGACTTCAGCCACAGCCTTAGATGATATCAACTGAAATAAAAGACATTAAATCTCTCAAGATCTGATTAAACAACTCCTAAAACAGCATCACCAGCTTCACATTACTAACCAGACTGATGCTATTTCTGTCAGATGTGTACAGAAGTGCTTATTGAAAATTAACAGAGGTTTAGATGTTGTTGTTTTCGGACACTACCATGATGGAGATCAGTGTTTGCTTTAGTTGGAATCTTGAACCTTGATTTTTTCATATTATCTTTATTTGGCTGCTTTAACCATTGTGTTTTTCAACAAATTTGTTGTGGTAAAAAAGGGACAAAGCACAATATGTAATGCTGATGGTTGTGATTCGCAAATTATATTACCATATTTATAAAACCGGCTCACTGATTTTATCCAGAGTCTCTTTTTGTACCAAAGCAATGTTATGGACCGCTACTAAAACTCAACACAAAAACAAAAGCAAAAATAAAAGCACCTAGTAAGAATTAAAGAAAATAAGTGGACAATTCAATGGCATAATTTATTCATGTTGCAATGGATGAGTTTTTTTCCTGTGCTGGTACCCAGCATGCATTGCAGCATGAAGCTTTTGATTGTCACCATTGTTGAGATTCATGTGCTGATTCTTGATGTCTCTGTGTGTCTAAGAGATGCTGTAGTTTTAAGGCCTTTGAACATAAAAAGTTTGCAAAATCCATTATAATTGTCTATCATCTCAGCTTGCATTGTCATATAGCTATCTTATATAACATGAAACAATGAAAACCCACACTATAGTTTTAAAGATCAGCCACTGAACGAGATCAGTGAACCAGGCCACAAAATGATTATTACACCATCATCAATAATTAACCAGAACCATATAAGCATCACTTTTCTACACTCTTCTTGCTGTAACAAACGTGCTTTACAAACACAGTTACAACAACTACACAAGCTATCACTAAAAAGTGAAGGGTCAAGAGCCCAACTAAAGCAAACACTGATCGCCACGATGGTGAGGTCAAACAAAACGTTTTCAATAAATCATCTAAACCTCAGTTAATTCTCAAATAACTTTTGTAGATATATGACAGAAATAAAGTCAAA